GCCAGAGAGAGTTTTGTCACGGCTAAAACCGTACCTTAACTAAAAACTGCCCAACCAATCACAGTAAATGTAAATACACTGCTAACCAATCAGAGTCGAGGCAAATGAATAAAACCCATGCAAAACGCGAGAAACCATGCAACCAATGCCAAGCGCGGGGGTCCAAGCGCGGAAAAACATGTAATGGCCGGTGCCAAACGCTGGAGGACATGAAGCCGGTATTAAACGGGGGGGAAACGCGCACAGACCATGAATGATTTGTTGCTGATTGCTTAGTTTGTAATGATTTGTTGGAAAATATAGTGGAAAAAATAATCAATGCGACATACGCGCTGCGCATGATGGAAGGTTGGATGTAATACGGTAGAATATGCAACGGCAGTCCTGTATTCTGATTGGCAGCAATTTTCGAAAGTGGGTTGGTATAGTAGCGAGTCAGTAGCCGCTTCTTGATGTAATGCTACAGTTAGTGTTTTACAATAAAGATTCCACTGGAGGTTTGTTACCAAAACGGCAACGAGAACTTATCTTCACTCCTCTCCAACAAGAAGGCTCGATCACTAGCCGTCGGTTTTGGGGAAGGGGCCCACGCTCCATCCTCCGTTTTCGGGGAGGAACGTAGACCGCACTCGAGAATGAGGCGGAAATCGAGCCCATCTAAGAACTCAACGAGAAGCCTACAGGCTTTCACGCGGGATGCTTTGGTCGATGTACTAATGCCATCAACTTTGGATGGCTATCCACCTAGAAATAAATCCAAACGGAAATGCTAACATTCAGTTTTACAGTTGTATTTTCTTCAACAAAAAGATAACAGAATTTAGTTCGCGTTCAAATTTGTAGACATTTGATAGTTAGAGTATATTGTCAACCCTGGGTACCGGAGCGTTTTTTTTTTTTTACATGAAGGACATTGGGAACCGCGCAAGTAAAACCTCTGGCGACCAGGGTACTGTTGTGTCAAAGTGACACAAAAATACCTTACTCGGTTCGAATTTCAACTTTTCATGTAGCTTCAAATTTTTCATTGCGGAAAAAAAAAACACTCTAAAAACACCTTCCCTGGCTTCGTTTGTGTAACCTTTTTTCTGTGCTGCTTTAGAGGTCTAGGTCGTGTTGCTAGTGAATTCGAAGTAAAGCGATTTTGGCTTCATTGTTTTCCAGTACAGTGGAACTCCGCTCTACGGACACCCTCTTAATACGGACACCCCGATATTACGGACAGTTTCGTTTTCCCCGACGAAAAGCTCATATGTTTTTTCTAAAATTAACCCGTTTATTACGGACACCCGTTAATACGGACAACGGACACTTTTCTGTGTCCCCAGCGACAAACTCTTATACAT